ATGATTTTTGTAAAAAACTTAACGTTGATATCTATTATCTTTTAAAGCTTTCATCAATAGCGTAGTTAGCTTAAAAAATATGCATGTTCCTTTATTTTACAAAGAAGTTCTAAGTTGTTTTAATGAATGTTAAGCTGAATTAAACTTTGATAAAAGATCTTCTGATGATATTTTGCAACAGCCAATCTGGAATAATCGTAATTTGGTCTATAAAGGAAAAGCTATTTTCTTTGACAATTGGATTAAATCTGGAATTTTATATATATATATATATATATATATATGAATTGTTTGATGACAAGGGTTGCATCAGACCACTTGAACATTTTTTCAGTATAACTGACAAATCTAATTGGCTATGTGAGTACAGAATTCTTCTGTCAGCTACTAAGAATATTCGAAGAACACACAATTTTTTTAAATGCAAGCAACATAAATAAACAAAATGTAATTAACTTCAACTTCCCTTAAGGGAACTTCAACATATCAGGAAAATCAAGTAATTTTTTCTACAAAAATGTTATTGAAAAAAAAGTTTTGTAAACCCAGTTTTCTAGCCATATTATCTAAAGATTTTGGAATATTTGAGGAGTCAAGTTGGAAAAATATTTATGAATGTAAGATTTTGGATATAAGAGATAAACACATAGCAGAATTTAGCTACAAACTATTAAATAATATATTATGTAACAATGCTTATGTGAGTAAGTGGGAAAAAGATACATCTCCTATGTGTGTACATTGTAATAAAATAAAGAATACAAAACATCTGATTTTTGAATGTGATAATGTGTCTAATATATGGAATACTATAAGCAGTTTTTTATCATTTAAAATTCAGTGGAAACATATTGGTGTTGGGTTTTTCCATGAAAAAAATGATAAAACTAGATCTCTTAATTTACTCATTACGTATGTGGCATATAGAATTTATAAACATAAAATGTTATGTAGATTAGAGTCTTTAAGTGAAACTGAATATAATTTATACAATCATTTAAAAAAAATCAATTTGTTTCTACACTTATGTATTACGCTTTCTATATGTTAACACTGAGCTAAGGATTTTTGAAAATCTTTCAAAACTAATGTGAAAATTATATATTCTTGTATAAATACTACTGGGAAGGGAACCGTCTTCCCGTAGTGCTGTCAAAAAGGGGGTAGTAAATTGACTGTGAAACGTATATGTGGCTCCCTCGGTTGACGGCTACACTGAATTTATATCTATCTTATTTCATAATGTATACTGTATAAACTTATTTTTTGAAAATAATTGTACTTTAATTTTTTTCTATATAATTTATAACATCCTGCGTGATGTCATAGGGACAACAATATCATTGTTTAGAAGGAGCTTAGTCAGGGCCCCATCCCTGGCAGTTGCCTTATTTTTTTTTCTAGTAATGTTAGTTTATATGTTGTTATAGATTAGGTCTGGGAAAATAAAATTGTTATAAAAAAAAAAATCATTTCTTAAGTTCTATGGTCGATACAATGACCTTTTCAGCAAATACAGTTTATAATTGAGTCAAATTTTGACTGACGTTTTTTATACCAATTGTTAGTCCATTACCATACACTGAATTGACGACGGATTTTTCCCATTATTTCCTGATCATGACAAGGAGCACACGGCGGGTGTGACCGGTCAGCAGGGGATGCTCACTCCTCCATGGCACCTGATCCCGACTCTGTTGTTTCGAGAGTGCGTGTTTGCTCTGCTCTTATTTTGTATTGTTTTATGGACTTTGAGATTGAATACTGTTTGCTATCTCCATATCCTTCTATAGATAAGCGAAACATTTTATCGCAATTTGACGTCTTAGGTTAAAGTTAACTTTATATAACATATAAAGACCCTTTGTAGAAGATGGAAAAGGGAAAGTCGGAAAAAGAATTCAAAAATCCGCGAATAAGCCTCTCCTACAAGTATTAATCCAAGTTAGTTTATAGCCACATTTACTAGTAACAAGTCTGGAATATAAGTTCACGCGGTCAGTTTTTAGTTGGGTACTTTGTTTAAAAACACATCATTAACTACCATGCCCCGCGTTAAGGTCATGAATCATGATATTTTTACAGTAGAGACTTATTATTAAATGTTTGGTAGAGATTTTCACTGACCTTTGAGTCAAATATGTCACAATAGACTTAAACTGTTGATAATAGTTTGATTTAAATAATGGAATATTGCATTTTAAGAAATAACCTTAACATTTAAAAAAAATCCATCAAAATAACATGTCAGTGTATTTTTACATATAACATTTTTAATAATAATGTTTTCACTGGTTTTATGTTTAATAAATAATAGGTCCAACAAGACAAAATGCAAGAAAACCTCAACCAGGAAACTGAAAAAAACAAAGAGTCTTCATCTGAAAAGAATGTGAATGAAAGTATATCTGACCCGCCAGGACTCCATCAACATCAGGACAACAACCAAGTGTAGCTTCAGAGGAAAATTTTTATGATACCCCAAGAGATAAGGGAGATGACACTCTTACTCAAGGTATCCAAGAAAAAGATGAAATTTCTTTAAGGCGGGAAATAGTGAATATGCTTAAGGAATTACTAGAAGCCACAAGACAGAATGGACGTCTGTTGATGACGTTTGACTTACCATGGTACTACAAAACTTAGCTGACTTACAGAGGGGAAAACTGAGGGAGGTGGAGAGTTGTTGAAAGACTACCTTCCCCCAGGTGAACATGCCGATAAACTTTAACGGACACATATCTATCTTAGGCCACCAACAACCTTTAAAAGCAGAACAATCAACTCTTTTATCGCAGGAGATCAATTTGAGTTTGTATCCTAAGAAATGAGTATTTATCTCCATATGTCTAAATGTAGACTGTATATTTATTTTTAGGCATTTTTAGAAGATTATGTATCATGTTGATATATTTTGATATATGAATAGCATGTTAACTACTTAGTACTTACTTCCACATCGTTAAAAGCATCGTATATATGGCAAAAGATTAATGTGATTCCTAATAAAAAATTTCATTTGTTTGTAGTTCAATTTAACAAGTGTCAGTATATCATAAAGATAAAGGTTTGAAAACAGCATAAAAACTATGTACACATTTAAAATAAAGATATGATAAATAAACGTTGAGGAAATTTTATGAGAACATCTCTGAATTTTGGGTTAATAAAGTGTGAACAGGGTAAAGAAAGATAGGGCTCATCCAAGATCAGCCAGGCCTCAAGACAATTTACTGAGAAATAAATAAACTAAAGCCAAAATTTTGATTCTTTGTAAATATGAATTGTTATTTCACTAGGTATTTATAATATTATAGATGTTTAGATAATTATGTTTTAAGTCTGTTCTCAGTCTTGAGGCAGATACCCTCTGTACACTTATTTACTCTTACTTTTATTTAGGAATTTATCAATCTTCAAAAATTTACAATTATTTTTCTTTAATACATACAAAGACTGAATTATTTTCATGTGTCGCCTGAATCTGAATATTGTCATTGTGACCTCATAAAACCGTACTTGAAGTTGAAAATAGAATGAAATTTAAAATGATAGTCGAATGGCATAATTTCTGGCCAATCATCAGATAAATAATTTATAAATGTGATTAAATTCAATTTGTGAAGATCAATGTGGTACATGAACAACTCTTCAGGTCTGCATATTTATCATCCCGCGATGGTATACTTCTTGAAATAAGTCTGCAAGAACCGTCATAGTTAATGCCCTCATACATAAATGAAAATTCAATTTCTTAACTATGTTAATATTGAATACTTGATTTATAATTTGAAAAGGATTAAACACTTTATAAGAATAACATCCCATGAAGAATATTCTATCTTAGTATATTCCTGCAATTTCCAAAACAAGTATATTAGTAATTACATGGTGTTCTATTTTTCCTTTGTTTCTCTTCAATTAGCGAGTTATTTAGTATTCATTAATTCTAAAATTTCTTAAAAATTCGCCGAATTGGCAATCCTTTTTATGTTTTTTTTTTTTTTTTTTTTTTTTTTTTGGCGAACGTCAAATTATTTCAAACAATTGTTGTTTTCTGAATAGAGGAAAGAAAATTGAGAAGTAGAGAAATTCATTCTTGAGCAATGGATCTGTCTTGTGTTATTTCTTTGTTTGTTTTTCAGTCAGCAAACATGCAAATGAAATTTCGCGATGTGTCAGTGCAAAAAGAGTTCAGGTAGACCATATAAAGTGACAGAGGACAGGCATCCGTTCTAAGTGAAAAACATCTTCTTTATCCATATTATAACTATGAGACAATATCCTAAACGAAGCAGGCTATTGATAAATAAGATGATGATCCAAAGAATCAACAGTCTCGTTAAGTCAACATTTCGCAAAATCTATAGTCGATACAATGATCTTGTTAGCAAATACAATCTGTCATTAAGTCGAATGTTAATTAACGTATTTCATACAAATTGTAAGGCCATTATAATTATATTGATATTGATTTTCAATGGATTTTTTCGTCTGCCAAATTATGACAAGAGGTACATTGCGTGAGTGATCAGTCGACAGGGGATGTTCACTCCTATTTTTCTTCTCTACAACAGCAAAGCAATGACGTTATATTTTAATGGAAGCATCATTGGATAGCGTAGATTCAAGGATGCTTGGGGCAGTTTACACTTTATAAACCGCGAAGCGGTTTATAAAAAAGCGTAAACTGTCCCAAGTTTTGTTATAGCGTATAACATAAGTTGAAATTAGCTTCATTCCTTATAATTTAATTTCAGTATAGACAATAAGACAATTTTTCCTCCAGAATAAGGTTTCAAACTGAGCATTATTTGAAATGTAACGTCAAGCGGAGTAATACGTTTTTGACGTAACGACATTGTGACGTAGGCAAGTTATGTTATCCAAAATATAATATGTTCCTCTGAATGATTCAGCCAATGAAATAGCTTGATACAAGTGAAATTAAATTATAATGGGTTAGGGAGACTTTTTAACGACAATATGTGTGAACAAAAGGAAAACCGAGAGCTTTGCCTCACCCCTGATGTTCCTTTTGTCATTGTGATAAGACACTACTTTGATATTTTGTTACATCATTCACATTACGCAGTGTGATTTCTGACAGCAAACCTTTATATGAAGTTGGGGTCTTTCTCAACTTGGACAAGTACGGTAAACAATAGATATATGGATATAACGAACAGTATTCAAACTCAAAAAGTCCATAAAACAATACAAAGTAGAAGCAGAGCTAACACGGGCCCCTTTATTTGCAACAATTTTTACAAGCAGCTTGTCAGGCGACGACTAATTTTTGTGACAGAAAAAATAAACTACGTAATACATAATAACATAAATAGCTCGAGTACTGAATACCAGGCAGTTTGGTCAACATTTCAGGAATGTAGATTCGTTTTTTAGGTGGATCGTTTAATCTTTCATCATAATACTAGAAATATACAGATCAGGAATGGTTTTATTGCAGATACTTGATTTTCTTCACTTGTGTGGTACTATATTGTACAACGAACAGATTGTCGTTTGTATCTGTACACAGTGGTTTGGGTTGACTCAGTCCACACTGTATATATCGGAGGAACTGTCCATCCTGGTCTATGATGTGGACACAGTCATTGTACATATCAGCTGTGAGGATGTGACATTGACTATCTGAAGTGATTCCTACCGGATCGAACCATTGGTTCTTTGGAGCAGGAGTATGTCCAGTGTACCTGAATCTCAGTTTCCCGGCCTGATTGACCACCACTACTGCTTTAGCTCCCTGATCAGACACACAGATATCCAGGTTCCTGTTCTCAGTTATACACTTAGGAAATATACAAAAACCAAGAGAGTAAAGAGGTTTGCCCTCATCATCAAACTGAATGGTTTGTTTCTCTGTGGAGCCAGAGTAACGGACAACTTTTGTTTGATTGCCATCATCACTGCGCTGGATAAGCAGGATGTCACCAGAGGAGGTACTACAGACACCATCAGGCTTCCAGTTCTGTTGGAGTCTGATTACCTCTTCTATCTTCTCCTTCTTCACAATGTTCACAGTTGTATCAATCTGACCGTAATCAGTATAAATTAGATCTCCACTTTTGGTCACCTCTATATCAAATGGTTTGTTCCCTGACTTGGTTGTGATTGATTTGAGAAGTGATCCCTGAATGATGCTGTAGAGTTTCATGGTGCTGTCATCTCCACTTGTCCAGATTTCTTCATCACTCTGACAGGCAACATCGTTAAGCAGTATATAATCAGTATCAATGGTAGTGACAGTCTCTGGTTCATCAAGCAGCTGTTTGACTGGAGGAGAGGATCCAGCTTCTGGTGATTTCTGTGTTGTCTTCATGCTGTAGCCATGTTTATCAAAAGTTAAAGACATTGATGATAGAGCCCCGAAATTTTTACTAAGTTCTTCTCCTTGAATTTTTCCTGGCATGAATTTTGGTAAAGATGGCACGATTTTGTGTGGAAGCTTTTTGTATCTGTCTACATCAATTTGAACACCTACCAGTTTTGAAAAGTCATTAGATTTTACGATAATATTGACTGATTCAATGTCATTCTCCATGTTGGAAAATGTCTGCTTTATTTCATCCAGATGTTTCTGTAGAGTTTGTAACTGTGTATTTTTCATTTCATCAACTTCAGCTTTAAGTTTCTTGACAAGTTTGTCAATATTTCTATGCCAGTCCTCTCCATGTTCTGTTATGGTTTTTGAGATATCTTCATATTCCTTTTCTAACTGACTCATTCTGTTTTGTACATCAGAGGCAATGTCCTGGTAGGTGGGAAAAACTGTTTCTTTTAATTCATTTTGTTCTTGAATTATTTTGTTCTTTTTTTCATCCAGAATTTCCAAAATTGTCGAAGATTTATGACCAATATGTTGATCAAATGCTATGCAAGTTTTGCAGATAGGAATGTCACATTGATTACAGTACATTTCGCATCTTTCTTGGATATGAGAGATGCATCCAGGATGGAAGGGGGTGAATTTCCTGACTTTGTGATCCTTGGTTTCTTCAGATATTATGTGTTCTCCCACACAGGTCTTACAGAGATTAACAAGACATGTATCACAGTGCACCTGTACCATAGCAGTCACACACATTTCACATCGACTCACGCCCTGTGCACTGGTACTCGGGTCCATTATTAGACGTTTTGCCCTTTGAATATAAAGAAATCTTAAGAATATTTATCGACAAATAAGACATAAAGACTAACAAAAATATTACGGACTTGTTTTCAGGTCTAACATTTATCGCTGATTTTAACTTTGAACAATTTATATTTGTCACTTTTTGTCGAAAGATTACGCATTCATTTTTTTATTAATAATAATAATAATTTCTTTTATTTAGACAGGATAGCACAATTAGTACATATATGACTTGTTTACATTGTGGTCCGGTATAAAAGATATTTACAGACAGATATTAAAAAAAAAGAAGAAGTAGAAACTAGAGCAAAAAAAGAAAATATACATAGACATATTTGTACATACTAATAAAAAAACTACTAGCTAGTATTAAATACCAGCTACATTAAATTGACCAGGAAGGAATATCTTTTTAGATTTTGTTGTGATTAAATGACTACATAATTTTAATTTTATTTATTTTTCCTCTAATTTTAAAGTTTAAAAAAAAGCTGTGAAAATTTGTGTGAAAATGATGTATGTAATTGAAAAATATGTTTTGTCATTAGAAAACAGATATACATGTACGATGTATTTGAGTGCACGTATACATGACACGCCCCTTCATCAAAAGTTTCTGGATATAACATAAAAAATGAAATTTTTATCCAACATATTGAAAAAAAACATATTTTGATATATTTTGATTCAAAAAATTACCTGTAGATAAAAATGTAAACTTCATTTTAAAGGAATATCCTACCTGACTGTTACAGCTGTAAATGAATCAAAATGGCGACCGCCCAGGACACGTCTATGGATTCTTTTTATTGACTCAGATCACATGACTACCCAGATACACCTGTCTAAAACTTCATTCTACCTGATTTAAAACCGGGATTTAAAAAAAATGCAAACATTTTAATGTATTCTGTACTTTAATGTCCCGATTATAAGGAGTTGGATCTTGCACCTTGCACAAAGCATTAAAGACAGCAGAGAATCGAGATTTTACTTAAAGATCGTATTACTTTGACTTTCTTTCTGGATCTGACAGAACATTTTTGCAAATAATAAAGAATTATGTCCTGGACCAGTATTTCATATTTGTTTTCCATTTGAAATTAAATTCATGAAACCAAATTGCCACAATTTTAAAACAGTAATAACAGTTTAAGGTTCATAAACCCTCTGCTCACTTAAATGAAATGCTGCTTGAAATATACTCAGTAATGATTTTCCAAAAAAAAAATGTATTTTATAAGTAAAATACAAACAGCTATAGCATAGGCAAATTGGACATAAAAGACACTTCAACTTGGCAAATCCTTAAAGGAATAATAGACATTTATGTCATTAAGAGTTATCTCTCTTATCAGAGTATCAATGGACCTTAAGAATGTAATCTGCTGATAATGTTGAGGAGTCAGTCATTTTTACGAAACTTCTATGCTTTTTCCATCAAATATGGAAATGTTTGCTCAATTATCCACTATCTCTTCGTTATACGATTTCCTTTCAACCGCTTTTAACCATTTATTTGTCTTGTCATCTGTAGAACATGATGCTACAAACAAGCTGGATGGATGAAAACTGTAAACTAATCCTTTATCAATACGTTGAATGCACATAATCTTTCACTAGAAATCAGGGTTGAATTTATTCATTTGAGAAAACAAAAAACAACAATGCATGGACTTTTTTGATAAAAAAAAATTGGCTTGGCCTTACTAATCATTTTCGGTTCTTGTCAATAAGATATTATGATAAAATAATTACCTCCAATCTTTATAATGCTGAAAGTTTTTTGCTAGATTTTCGGTTGTAAAAATGACCATCAGATATTCCAGATTATCATGCTTAAGAAGATTCAACGCTTCGCTTTCCTTGTAGATTATAATCCAGGATTGCAAAACGTGTGGCCTATCCAACCCCATTTTTGTTTGGTGTTCTCCCATAGACCGTTGTTTGATATGGTGTCAGGCCATCTGATGTTAAGTACTCGGGAGTATATGGCAGAGATATTCATTAATGAAGGTCTTTAGTTTGTTGTTCATTGTTTTAGTTACCTTCCAGGTCTTGGAACAGTTACTGCTTTAACATTTGTGCTATAAATCCTTATTTTGCTGTTGATGGATAGTGCTTTAGAATTCCAGATTTGTCTGAGTGTATTGAAAGCATGTCGTGCCTTCTTAATTCGGCCTTTGACATCGTCATCTGCGCAACTGTCCTCTTTGACAATACTCCCAACATAAGTAAATCTGTCAGTTTCTTTGATGTTCTCCCCATTTTACTAGATTTATATCTCTTGTTTGTCGTTTATTCTCATCTCCTATGTTCTCTTAGAATTAATTTTAAGACCAGTCTTTTGGGGTTTCTGATGCCAATCTTGATGGTTTCTCTTGAGCATCTTGTAGCTTGTGTGAGAGCAGGACAATGGTATCTGCAAAATCCAGGTCCTCTAGCTGTTCCTGTATGATCCAGAAATATGGTTTTTGAGAGTTGAACTCTGTCTTACTCCTGTTTCCACATTAAAAGGATATGTCAGCTTTCTATTATGGATGATATGACAGGTGGCGTCATCATACAGATTCCGGATGACACTTATGAACTTTAACGGAATTCTCTAATGCCTCATTAATTTCCAGACGATTGACCTATCCACACTGTCAAAGGCATTCTCAAAGTCCACGAAGATTGGGTAAGGGAAGACTGTAATTCAATTGACTGTCTAATGAACATACGTAGTGTTGCAGAGTAAACTGGGTATGATCAGCCCTTGAGGAACCCTGCTTGCTCTGATCTTAGTCCAATGCTACTCTCATTTTTTCCAACATAAGTCTTGTTAGGGTCTAACTGTAAGACACAATTTTGTGCCTCTGCTTGAAATTGAACCCATGCAGGGCCTCTAGCTTGCCGGTCCAGTGCTCTACCAATTGAGCTAAATTAGCGTTAATCCACTAGCCTAAGCTAGTAGGATGCCATGTATCTTACACTACTACATAACTGACAGATACCACAGAGTCGGACACATCTGTTTCATACTTGGATATTTTACTTGAAAAGACGTTGATGGTATTCTAACAACCAAGCTCAATGATAAACTTGATGACTTTAACTTTTTTTATCGTCGGCTTCACTTGCTTATGCAGCAGCGTACCTTCATCACCTGCATGCGGCCTTTGTACATCTCGGTTGATTCGATACGCGGGGGCATGCTCTACGCATGAACAATTTCAAAAACAAGGTAATAATTTTGTGTGAACCACTTTCCCTAGTGTATGATCCACTTAATATTAATATTATTATTGACAAACAAGTTGATGAAACAAGAATATCAGCAGTCTCGATTAAAGTCATCATTTCGCAAGTTCTTTGGTCGATACACTGACCTTGTCGGCAAGTGCAATTTATCATTGAGTCAGGTGCTGACTGACGTTTTTCGTGCTGCTTGTCGGTCTATTGTTTGTGCACTGCATTGAAGACAGATTTTTCCGTTGTTTCCCGATCGTGTCAGGGAGCACACGGCGGGTGTGGCCAGTCAGCGAGGGATGTTCGCTCCTCCATGGCACCTGATCCCACTCTGATGTTTTAGAGGTCCGTGTTTGCTTTGCTCCTATTTGGTATTGTTTTATGGACTTTGATATTGAATACTGTTCGTTATCTCCATATCCCTCACGACAATAGATAAAAATATGATGTGTCGCCAATTTCCACACTGAGACATGTCCCCTTCCTAGGTAGCTTAATCAGGTATCCTGTTTTCCATGCATCTGGTACTTTTTCCTTTTCCCTTATCTTTTGCAAAAGGTGTTGTAAAATATTTGCTTACTTTGTTGGAGTAGCTTTGAATGTATCAGGAGGAATACTATCCAGACCATTTATTAGTGTCTTTATACCCATAGTGATTACTATTTTATTTTATTTTATTTTATTTTATCCTGCATTGATTTTTAGTCCTTCTTTCATTGGTTGCAAGACTGGGTAGTGGTGGGCGATTTAGAACTTCCTTTAAGTGCTCTACCCATTTAGCACTTCGTCCTACATCGCTAGTGATAATTTTTCCTTGTTTATCCCCCATTAGGTTGTTGGTTTATACATTTCTTCTAAACAGTGTTCTGATTATTTCAAAGAGCTTTTTAGCTCACCAAGTGAGCTTTTCTGATCAAAATTTGTCCGTCGTCTGTCGTTGTCGTCGTTGTTGTCGTTGCGTCGTTGTTGTTAACGTTTCTCTATATTATGTTCTCAGATTAACCGTTTGTTGAGTATGATTTCTGACACCAGTTGATTTTTGGCTTCAACTCTTCTTTCCATTCTTCCACTTTCCCCCAATGATCTTGCTGTCATCCACTCTTTGTGCTCCCTCGTTTTCTTTCCTAGAATTTCACTGCCTGTACTTTTTCAAGTGTCATGGAGGATTACCCAGAGATCCTCTTCGGTTTTCTCTGCCAGACACTCTAGTGCCTCAAATTTGTTGTTTATTTCAATGTTGAACCCCTCTCTCTTAATTCTCTTAGCTTTTAAGAAACTGGATGTTGAACTTGTATAGCGGTGTTTTAGATTTGTCTTTGAATGTTCTGAGTTTCATCCTCAGTGTAGCTGTAAAAAGTTGGTGATCTGAGGCTGCATCTGCTCCTCGTCTTGTCCCGATATCTAGCACACTTCCTCTCCACTTACGCATGATGGTGATATGATCTATTTGATTTTCTGTCTTCCCGTCTGAAGAAATCCAGGTTGTCTTTTGTATCTCCTCGTGAGGAAAGATGGTACCTACTATAACTAGATTATCTAAAGTGCAGAAATCTGTAAAATGTTCTCCATTTTCATTCGAGTTATCCCATGGTGTCTTTGTTCGTGTTGTCATCTTCCACCTTTGCTATCAAATCTATCACAATTTCTATGTCTCTTTCTTGTGCACGACCCATAAATGACTGTTAAGGCAGAATAAAATTCCAAAATTTTGAATGAATAACTGCCTTTATTCATATTAGAAACAAAATTTTCTCAGACCCGTTTTGCAACCGAACATTTTCACAAGAGTGCCTTTCACACATTACTTTTTAATAACACAATACGGACGATTTTCAGTAAGATCCAACTCCGTTTTATTTAACCCAAAATGTTTTTATTTGGTTTGATTCAAGAAGTATCCAAGAAACAAAAGTGAAAAAATAATACACTTCATTTATAATTATGGCCTCCTACTAAATAATAAAATGCAAATTTGTTTCCTGGGGGAAAAACTCAAAAAGTACAAAAGAGTATCACCTGATGAATGCAAGAGGTTTTGAAAGGCAGAGCATTTTCTGCACTATCGCAGCCAAAAAGCATGCATTTCACAGTTTAGTAGATACAGATTTAAGCTTTACATTTTTAAACCTTCCTGTGGAAAATCGCAACTTATTTTTTTTTTAAACTTATTTTATATGAAAATTATTGAAACCGAATTCCGGGACGCGTTTGAATAACACATCCTTGCAATTTTACAAATTTTAATTTATCTTTAAATGTTTAAGAAAAGAAACAATTTTGTTGTGTATTAACTAAATGAAAAATTTACATCTATAATCCAGAGTAAAAATGTTCAAAAGCAAAACACATTCACAGCCTGTGCTCAGTATTGTATACAGGCTTTAACAAATTGAATACACCCGTGAAACGTAAACTGTTTTTGTAAACAGAGCATGAATTCTGTTTTTTTTAATGTGTACAATTCACCGAGTGTTTTCAATTGCTAAACTCTGCACCACTGAGCACATATTAACTATACTGTGAGAGGGTTTTGCTTTCTCACATTTCTACTATGAGTTTTCTGGACTAATGAGGTAATATTTTTCATTGATACACAACAAATATGCCACTTTTAAGTGGTTGGAATAAAATTAAAATTTGAGAAAGTGCAAGGATTTGTCAATCAAACAAGTCCAGAAATATAAAGTTTTCAAAAAAAGTTATTATATTTTAGTATGAAATGCTTTAGCAGCATGCAAGTCATGAAATTATACAGAAATCAATGTCAACTTCAAACCCATGTCCAAGCACCTTTAATAGCGAAGACACCTTTTAAACAGGCAAAATGGTCATTGATTATTTTATAATTGGGCTAAATTGAACATATATGACCCATTTAGTGCTCAAAGGTTTTGAAAAAAATGTCTCTTCTTTTGACAAAATTGTCTTTGATGTTTTTTATATAACATTTTGTTTTCATAACATTCAGCAATCATGCTCATGGAATCCGTAAAATATAAAGGTCAATGTTACAAATGTAATACATGTATTTTAATTCCTACCAAGCACCCGAATAAAATAAATACTAAATCATTAGTATTTACAGAGTATTATACCTATTACACTTAAGTTATTTGAAAATAAATTATACTTTCTATCTCCTTTTAGGAATGGTGCATATTGTCGCTTGTGACTTTTAAGACAAATGCAGACCTTCTAGTTCGTCATTTGACATTGATTTGACCTGGGAAAGAATATCTCTCCTTCAAAGATATTTGGACCCACACCAAATACTATTTTACTGCAAAACCTAGTTGACTAACAGAGGGAAATACTGAGAAGAAGCAAGATATGGACAGACATGCAGACATGGTGAAGACAGTATTTTCCCTTCATTTTTTTTTTTATTGAAATAAAAAAACCCTGTTTTAACAATTTTTATTTTTCTAAAATTGGTGAATTTCTTCACAAACATTTGTATGTAATAAAGAATAATCAGAACTTGAAAATCAGAATGAGGTCTCTTATACACATATGCATGTGTACATATTTTATACAATTGAAAACTTGATTTAGTAAATTGGCTACTAATCCTAGTCCAAGCGTTTCAGCCTCAGTCATCTAAAGCTTTGAACTCTTCAAAGCTGTGAATTATCAACCAGTAATTTAGGGAAATAATTCTGTTGAATTACTGAAATAATCCCCATAAGAATAGAGTTTTGAAAATCTCAAACATATTATCAAAGGGAAGTAACATCTTAAAACATTCCCGACTGATACATTTGACAAAGTGACCACACGTTCAGAGATATATCTTATCATAAGCCAAACTCTCTGAATGGAATATTTTTCAGAATGTTCTGAAATGGCCATTGGATGAAATTCAAACAAGTGACCTCTTGTTTCCTGTACCACAGAATATCAGTGACCAGCAAGGACATTAAAGAAGTGATAGACCTCGTCTGTATCAAACACGCCCACCACTGTGTTACACTCTGTACACCTCACAGGATGGAGCTTTTCTTCCTCCTCTGTGGAACTCTCCACCTCCTGCTGCTGACTACCTTGTGAGCCCTGCTGTCTTTTCCTTTTCTTGCTTTTCTGTGGCGGTTGTTTAAGTAATTCACTAAAGTCCACATGACAGTTCATCACAAACATGGCTCTGTACTGGTTGTGATACTTTTCATGTCTGTCAAAAAAAAAAAACATCTTTACAAGAGAAGAGGATATTATTTTAGGCACAATACATGTTGAATCAATGTAAGTCTCCTTTTTTAATAAAATAATTTTTTTTTTAAAAAATGTAAGCTGTTACAATCTTTGGTTTACTTCTAAAATCAAACACAAGTTAAGCTATATGATTTCTCTTCATTTTTACAATATTGCAAATCACCTCAAAAAGAAGTTCTCAACACATTATTTATCACAAAACAATTTACCCCACATAATGGAACTGTGTCTCTCTCTGGGAAAGAAAATTCAAACAGACATAGTGAGCTACAGATCCATTTACCCATTAGATGAAAATATGGTGTCGTAAATTGTTGGTTATTACAATGGCTGGATATGTAGCTCTATGTTACATTTGTCCAAATTTTCTGTCCCAGAGTTCTACACTTTTAAGCGTAAGAAAATTGATCAACTTATTTGCAATATATTATTTTTATGATGGTGATATAAATGTATGAATTATTACAGTATGGATCTCATGAATTTGTAGCAGTACAGATAAGAAATTGAGGCAGACTTGACAAGGATCAAAACCCAGGCCACCTGAATCTCTAGTCAGGTGCTCTATCGACTGAGCTATCAAGCCACCAGTGATCAAACCCATATGACAGCCATCAATAGAACCAATTAAATCTGTTAATTTTCTCCGTATTACTACACTTACTTCTGACAGTCCAGACACAGCGTGGTCAAACAGGCCGGACAGTCCAGCACCGCGTCACTAGTGGGCAGTTTTCTGGGGGCTTTCCTGTCCCTGGCCATGAGTGACCGCCGGTGATTGTCCACCCAGCGCTGGTCATCATCGTCCTGGTCAGGGTCGTATAAAAGGTCATCGTTTGTCAACTTCTCAAATTTCTCTCTTTTCTTTTTGTCCCCTGTGGCATAAGAAGATAAAATTAATTTTGCATGTTTAAGTTATAAAAATCAGAAAATTTTTGTTCAAGTTGGGATATAAGATATGATTCTTATAAATTATTCATCCATCAAATTCTGACCCTCTAACACTGTAAAACAACTCTTATTTATGTGTGAGAAGTATTCACAAGTTTCGCGACCTATTCTGTCTTTGATTGAAATGTGCATGAGCATGCCTGCCTTCCCTCCCATAATGTTTACAATTCAATTAAAGAATTTCAAGATTACCCCCTTTAATCATGTCCTCTTCATCTGAGTCGAAATATACGTCATCATTAAACCCGTTGTCCTGTTTACTCCGTTCACTAGAGGTTCCTGGTTTTGAAGTCTCTCCACTTTTACTTCCTAAATAATAGAAATACTAAAGAAATCAGAAACAAACAGATTTTAACTTATTTTTTTTCATTTTTTAAACTTTTCTCCCTATTCTGGTTCTTATTAAAGTTTGAAAAACAAGAATGCGATCTGGGATGTTGCTGGTTAAAATTTTGGACATTTCCTGCTCTAGTTTAAATTTCACTTAATATTTGTAATACTTTATTTCAAGTTAAATAATTTTCAATTGTGTTTTGTTGTTACAATTCTGATTTTTTCCTCATCTGTCGATAATAAATTTTCACTGTTTAGAGTTTTTTTTGCAAAATAACCTGTTTTTTGTCCTGATTAGTAATTTTAACTCACTGGGTGTTGCTGAATACCTGATATTGTCTGTCCTGATTTCCGAGCCTCCTCCAGTGCTGTTACTCTCCGATCTAATTCCTCATTCATCTCTTTCTCAAAATCAGACTCAGCTGATGAGCCTTTACTGGATACTGAGCTGTGCCGGACTCGCACTCTCTTCTGATTAGCACAGTGGATGGTGAAATCAAGTTCATCGTCTGAACTGTAGAAAAATTTTTAAAAATGGTTTCCTTAAATGGTGAAATTTTTATAGTCAACTCAGCATCAGCTGCTAAAATTGCGAAAAGGGGTAAAACTGTTAAATTATGAGAAAGAAAATTAGAGTATACTCACATCTCAAATTTGCAGGTCTGTTTGACAACTTATTTTGTGCGAGTTACCTAACTTCCCAATTTGGGGTATTGTATTACAGTTCCAAACAAATCGTAGTAGTATTTCTGTAAAAATACTGTGTCTTTTCCAAACAAAATATATACAATGTCCCTGATGTAGTTAAACTAAACTCAAAAACTTCAACACATTATGTTACTTAGTCCTTTTAACCTCAGTTTTTTTTTCCAAAAAAGTGAAGAAGTCTACAGGGACTTGTGTCTTTATGAACATACGACGAAATTGTCAAACAAACTAGACCTGCTGCCTCTTTCAATGTCGCTGTCATCATCTACAAAGTACATGTAGTCAGCATCCAGGTCTCGCTGGAAGAAGCCTGCCATTTCTTCACAATCACAATTATTTGTTACAGTCATTTAGGGTATTTCGGGTCACTTTTTACATTTCTACTGCAATTAATTAAACAAACAAGATTATTAATGGTTCCTGGGCATTATTAAGAAGTTTATTGTTTGATTGAAAAGACTTGCGAACCAAATTGCGATTATCTTTGATAAAACGACCGCAGTGGGAGCTTTATCTATACCTCCAATTTAAGGAATTGCGGGTCACTTCCGGTTATTTCGAGTCACTTTATAAACGTGTGCAAAACAAAACAAAAATTACATTTAATGTTGTTTTATGACCAAAATTAGTTAGTTTTGCTAATATCCAATTGTTATTTCAGCAGAAATGATTTTTTTGTTGGGGAAATCGCTCACGGTGAAAGCTGATATCAACACACTATATTGACCGTGTGTAATGTGGGGCGGATGTAGCTTGAATACCATGAAATTATGACCTTTAGATTGTTAAATTCTCTCGTAACATTCAGAGACAAACATTTTATGTCATTATTTATTTGAATAAAATGACTTTTTAACAAAGAAAAAAAAGTAACAATGGAAACACCTGGTTTTAAATAACGGGAAAATGACTAGGAATTAATGTAAACATGGTAAAAGGCTATAAAAAATTTATACAGTAACAAAAAAAAAAGTAAATTCGTCCTACTTGGACTCATATAAAATATAAACATATAAAAAATCTATAAAATAAACAAAATACACATAATAATAATATAGTACCTTGATACTAAAATATAAAACGCCCCCTCTCTTTCTAGTGGAAATGTGCATCTCTCTCTCTCTCTCTCTCTCTGCAAAATATTTGGCAAATTTATGTGCATCCTTTCTCTCTCTCATTGCAGTCTTTGGCAAATCCATGCTCTCTCTCTCTCTCTCTCTCTCTCTCTCTCTCTCTCTCTTATTGCAAATTCTATGGTAAATTTATGTGCATCTTAAAATGATATAAAGTATGTCAAACTTAGTATGTAAACTTTTGTATTAAAAAAAAAAAAAACAAAGGTCCTACTTTGGACATATAAAAACAACTTCACATTCTATGAAATGAACTTTGATACAAAGAATCATATGTGATGCATGTACACTTTATGATAAGGAGACATCAATGACCGACTTTTCAGGCATATTTTCAATATGCTGCTCTATAACAGTCAATGCTGCATGGAAGTTTTTGGGACACACTTTGTATTGGCAGGGTATAACAACACCTCCTCCTTTTTCCAGCACATGGGGCCAGGGTGGAAAACTTGGCAATGGTTCACCAGTAACGGTTGCAGTTATTACACCTCCAGCATCCATCACATACTTAAAGGCACTCGCCAAACCTCTCGGAACATGACCACAAGGAAGACCTGCTATGTCACTTAATCTCAGGCCTCTCCTTTCATCACTCACTGAATTCTCCAGGTTCTCTGGAACATTTTCTGGCACCCAGACTACACATGCATCTATATCATGAATATTTGAATATTCTCTGTCGACCTGAAGTTCCAAATCACTTGTCATAAGTGGCTTTACTTTTACTCATGATAGCCCTTAATTACACAGTTTTTGATATAAATTATCTCCTTGTTGGGTTCCTGTAAGAGAAAAAAATACAGTCATACAGATTTATAAGAAAAAGAATATTCTTAACGCATCTAATAATTTTTGCACAACACTTTACCACATAACAGCACGAATCTAGGTCGCAGCAACTTTATTTCACACATAGAATGATACAAAAAAAAAATGGATTTTTCTTTTTAACAAAATGATTATTTTTATAATGTTTGATTTAGTATAACAAATTTTCTACATAAAGAAAAGCTATAATCATGATAATATTGAAAAAGCACAATGTAAACATTGACATGTGACGTACCAAAACACGAAGCTGTAGAAACACACGTGACCCGAAATACACTAAACCGAAGGGGGTTAGGAATACACCACTACCTCAATAGATTTTATTGCAACCAGAATTTGTTTAGTTGCATTAGAAAGCGTATAAATTTTCCTTTCCAGCAGTATATATAAACATGTATTGTTTTATCAGACGTAAACTTCACATCATCGAAGAAAAAAAGATGTCTCCGTTTTTGACATGCAAAATTCTCTGATCGGGAAACATACGCCAATTAATCAACGTATTAATTAAGACATCTATTTTCAATATTTTCCTTTGTAACTGTGTGAATGCATATAACATACCTTGCTGGACGTGACTGCAATAGCTTTTTGTTTTTCTTTTACGTTTTGCGCGAACTGTGTCAAGAAAACCCCGATGACTCCCGAAAATCGGGGTGACCCGAAATACCCTAAATGACTGTATTTATATTTACGTTTTTATAAACGCTTCCCTTGGGCCTTGCCTACTTTCATTTTTTCAGTCACGGTCATTATTTGTTGCTAAATGCGAGTCAGAATGTCCCTTATGTAAAACGCACAGACGAACCTTTTACCAACGTACTAAAACGTAAGTCATCCTGGTATGGAAAAAATTAATCCGGAAATCCATGTAGCCTCGGGAAAAAAAATATTTATGTCATTAACGTACATATATTTATTGATACATGGACAGCTGGATCGTTTGACAAATAATGTTTATTAAACACGGATGTTAGGATGAGAAATGAAGAGAAGTGACAGACTGGGGGCTCATTCAGACACTAAAAAAGAGGTACAGTAAATATAATTCCTAGAAAAATGAAAAACCTATTTATGTGGAATCTTTATTTTCATCTAGTCCCTTAGGACATACAGCTGTACTTTACAAATTTTTGAGGTGTGGTATGTGTTGTAGAAGACATGATGGTCGAAATTGATATATATTTGAAAATAAATCGATCCTTGATATATAACAATTTCTCTTTGACTCAACTGCGGATTGATTGGTTAACGCTATTTGGTACCGCCTGGACGGCGGTCAGGAGTTATCTTTCCATAAGTGTGCACGAGTTATCTCGCATTGATGTGACGTAAAATGAATCCATATTAATTCGTTCTTTGTTTTATTCCTGCTTATCTAAATATGTAAAAGAGAAATAAACTATGTGTGTTTGTGAGGGAGGATGAGAAAGGGTGTGTGTGTTGGGGGGAATACTTAACAATTTCAATTATATTTGATAGAAAAGAAAGGTGTTTTACAGACCCCCCCCCCAAAAAAAAGAAAATAAAATTAAGAAAGAAATTAACGTTACTATGAAATGGGGAGAGGCTATCCCCAGACTTACAGATATACCCCCATCCCCACCCCACCCCACCCCCGCCCCACATAGATACACCCAGCCAATGCAAGACGAGGAATTTTATAAACTGGATGCGTCTTTTCTATGTCGATTTAATTTTGTTTTTTGCATATATTGGTTTGAAGTATGCTAAAACAAGAATAATTAGATTTTTTTTTCATCCATAAACTTTTCAATCAAAGTCCTCTAAACATTTTCAGTATTCAATTTCTAAGCACTTGAAATCACTTAATTTCTATTTGGCATTTTAAAAAAAGTATCATCAGTGCACACAAGAAGGAAAATGTCAATTTATTTCCATCTTCTTAACAATGAAACAATTAAATAGAACAGTGTTAAAATATGTAAATGCAGCCCAAAAAAAAACTGATCATAGAGCGAAAAATATTGATTCATTTCGTGTGGCATTTCGCGCAGTAGCTGGAAAAAAAGATGAAAGTTCCACGGTGATGAAATAAGGTGCCATGAAAATGTGTCCAAAAATGAGAACATTTCTCAAAGGCATGGCTTGGCAATAATCTTTTCTTGCATGCAACTGAAATAAAAGGAAAAAAGAAATCAAGAATAAAAAGAAGTAATAGTATGAATGTGATTCTAAACCTAAGGAAAACAAACACAAACACAAAGGGAGAGACAGTTGTGACATACAATAATGAATCACCCTAATTCTTACAGGTACTAATCTACAAGTAGGACAGTATGAGGTATCAGAATACGAAGTTATATGTAAGATCTTACAGATACTTTATTTATAAAATATGATAGGCACCAGGTTATGAAGCAACCAATGTAGTAGTAATAAGAATCAGGGTCTGATAATTTCTGCAATCGGCTAAAAAGCCAATAACATGTACCTTTAACAGAGATTACATGTATAAATGCAACTCTCTAATTGTAAGAGGTATAACTCAGAAAGGGAAGCTTCATACCTCAATTTGTTACATACAAAAGCTACGTAGCTGCCTTCACCTGCGCTGGTACCAGATATTAGCTCAACGACCTGTAACAGGTAACAGCTATATAAGCAATTGAATCTCAGTACTTTAGCCTTCCTATCTCTAACAGATGTTTGATTATAATATATATGACCTGTAACAGGTACCAGATATTTATGCAATCAAATCCAACTACTTTATCTTTCCTACCTTTTACAAATGTCTGATTATAACATACCGACCTGTAACAGGTACCAGATATAAGC